GGCCCCCCCCCCCCGCTTTTTTAAAAAATAGGCCTTGTGCTTCCACTCTTGCCCCTGTTCTAATGCACTCACGCACAGCAGCTGACGTGGTCTTCTGTGACCAGCGCACGGTACCCCTACCCAGTCCCATCCCAGCTCCCTTCTTTAGTGCAGGCGAAGCAGTGTGATTTAGTACTTGGTCCTGGGATGAGGCGCTCTGGGTCACATTCATGTCCTGTCACTCTTTTTTTTGTTAAATATATCTTTATTGATTTCAGAGAGAGGAAAGGAGAGGGAGAGAGAGAGGTAGAAACATCAATGATGAGAGAGTCATTGATCGAGCCCACATCCGGGGCATGTGCCCTGACCAGGAATCGAACCCCGATCGCCTGGATCCTAGGTCGACGCTCAACCACTGAGCCACGCCCCTCCGGGCTGGTCCTTTCACTCTTAAGCTGTGTGATTTCAAGTAAAGTGTACTTTCTCTGTGCTTTAGTCCTCTCATATGTAAACAGGTAAGAGTAGCAGCTGTCTCTAGAGTTACTGTGAGAGTTGAGTAAGCTGATTCTTGCAGCACACTTAGCACAGGGCAAACGCTAGCGAGGGTCGGCAGCCTTCCTCTTTACCATCACCGTGAGTTTGTGAGTTTGGCTTTTGTCTGGGACACCAGCCATTGTAACACCAACCATCCAGATTGCTTGAGTATTTGCACTTTCTCTGCCTCCCTCACAATAATTTGTTTATAATGATCTTTATTTGCAGGGAGAAAGGTTAAATGAAGCCAGCTGTACTTTGCTAGGAAGGCAGGACAGTATGTAATTTTGAAATACTTTTCTTCTGAATGGTTTAAAGTAAAAAAAAGTCCTTGTGCTTACAGAGGTTAGGCTCTCAGTGACCCGGAACTTGATCTTAACAGACTGTGTCCTTCTTCAGGGCCCCGAATGGTTAAGTATTTGTGTGCATTTATAGACTGTTCTGTATGTTATCTTTATTTTTATTGTTTTCTTTTGAGATAAGAGAGCCTCATTTTTCAGCATTATCGAACATCTAATCTCATGTTCCTGAACAAAGTAAGTTAAGTTCTTGCGGTCCAGGCAGTGGTAGGCTGAGTGAAACATTGACACTTACACTGTGTATATCGTGCCTGTCCTAGAATAAAATCAAGCCAACTAAATGTGAGAGAGGAAGTGAACGGAGGGGTCATCTTTTCTTTTTTTTTTTAATATATCTTTATTGCTTTCAGAGAGAGAAAGGAGAGGGAGAGAGAGAGAAACATCAATGAGAGTCATTGATCTGCTGCCTCCACGCCCCCGACTGGGGATCGAGCCAGCAACCCAGGCATGTGTCCTGACCGGGAATTGAACCCCGATCGCCTGGATCCTAGGTTGATGCTCAACCGCTGAGCCACGCCTGGCTAGGCTGGTGGGATTGTCTTAATCTTCCCTAGGTTTATAGACCAGGGGCAGAACCTGCCAAGACTTTCAAGACTTGTGGGCTTGTGCGCCTCCTTCAGCTCTGTGCCCCAGGCACCTTTTTGACCTCATCCTAGTTACTGCCCTGGCCCAGCCAGTCTGAAGGTCAGAAAGGACAAAGTTGAATTTCCAGGAAGGGAGTCGGGGAGGAGGGCTTGGGGTGAGCGCAGGGAACCAGTAACGTTAGGTCCCTTACGGCCTTGTAGGCCAGGTATGGTCTTCAGACTCCATTCCTTCTGGTCAGGGAAAACACTGGACAGAGTGTTAAGCAGAGCAGCAAGCTGACATATATTAAAAACCAAACCAAAACAAAAAAACCTCACTACTGTAGCGAGAATGGATTGTAGGGGAGTAAGAATGAAAGCATTTGGCCGGTTGGCCCTTGTGAGTTCAGGGGAGAAATAGTGGGGACTAGACAGGGAAATTTGGGAGGCTCTTCGAAGCACAGTCCTTGTGAGTTTGGCTTTTGTCTGGGACACCAGCCATTGTAACACCTGAGAGACTCTGCAAAGAGTGTGGGACACCAGCCATTGTAACACCTGAGAGACTCTGCAAAGAGTGTGAGTACAGATGGGAGAAGGTTATTGAACTTGGCGGTAGGAAGTTAAGGGAGTTTCTTTTTAATTTCTAATTTCTCAGTGAAGTATGAAACATTATCATCACCTGGAAGTGGAGAAGGCAGGCAGTGAGTAGAGGATATGTGAGGAGAGAGGTTTCAAATACCATTTTCGAGGGTGAGAATGAATATGCCAGGGAAGTGTATTCAGATTGCTGGGTGGTGAGATCTCTGATTCTGGAATTAAAAAGGTTGCGTGTTCTTTAGCAGTGTTCAGAAGTATAGGCAGGGAATAAATAAAATGAGTTTACTCTCAGGATGGGCTCACCATAGGGATAAAATTAGTGTTAGAAACTTTTCCAGCACAAGTCAAATAAAATTATGGGGTCCTCTAATGTAATATTTATGGGAAAGAGCACTACTAGAAGATTCAGTGTTTTAAAGAGTTAAATGAAACTTAGATTTTGGTTATCCTTGAATTAAACTCATGATTTGATTTCTTTGCCACAAGGTGGCGCCATCAGATGGCTTTACATATTTGGATTCTATATTGTATGCCTTCTCGGGACACTTACTCTCTGACACTTATAAAGCTAGTCATTTAGGTTCTAGCATCTAGGAGGTAGCTCATGCTTATCTTTGGAGTGTAAAATTCTTAATTGCAATCCAGTTCCTGCACGTTTTGGCCAAATTCTCATCTGTCTTCTCACCCCCACAGAGCTCCTTTTGAAGTCATTGGAGCTCCCGTCTGAGCATGTCGTGGGGGTGCAGAGCAAGGTGAGAGTTTGGGACCACTAAAATTAAATAAGTATTTTAAATACAGTGTGTTACCCATCAAAATAAGTATTTCTTCAGTTTATTATGGATAGGGCACTAGAGGGCAGCATTTAGCTTTTTTTAGTTTTTAACCTTCACCCAGCCTCTTATTTCTGGAAGTCTCTTAACTGTTGCATGTGTTTTGAAAATGAGTATGGTCAGATGATTTTAAGGTGACAGAACCATGTTTGGGAACTGTCTATATTCTTGCAGTGACAGGAGCTATTAATTCAGTTTGTTTATAGTTGGGGATTTATAGTCTCATCTAAGTTGGAGAAAATTCCTAAAGACAAACATATGTTAACCGGTTTTAAAAGGAGATTGTTACTAATACAGACTCGATGTTGCCTGGACTTCTGGAAAGCACAAGTAAAATGTAGAAAGTCTGATGTTTCTTCTGGGTATTAAAGGCTTCAACAGAGGGACTTTTCAGTACACACCTGGTGCCCAGCTCACCATAGAAATAGACATGTTCACTTCGCTTATCTAGCGCTAGGCACAGCCATGCACATTGAACCGCTACACGCATTTCTCTTTGCCTGGGCCTGGCCACTTCTCTGTGAATCGTATTTTACCATTTGATGTGGAAGTCCAGGAATTCATAAGTAAAGGCAAAGTAAAATTTTTGTATCAGTAGTATTTGATTCTAGGCTAAATTTTCAACTAATAACCAAACCCTTTAAGTAAATAAAATCTATAAATGAATGATTAGTATATGAGCCTTCAACCAGGAAGGTGACCTTTAAGATCCTGTCAAACCCTGAATATTTTTGAAAACAAAAACAACCCCCACAAAAACATTAAAATCAGCATAAAATTTGAATTGTCATAGAAGATATCACAAAAAAGCTAATTTTCAAACTAGACTTTTCAGTTGGAACCCACTTTCTGTTTTTTTGTTTAAAAAAATAGTTTAATTACATGCACTTTCTGATTTGTCAAAATTTGGGACATACCCTGGCTTTCTAGAAACTAATATTTTGGTTATATTGAACACTACTATTATGTTTTTTGTTTGTTTTATCAGGTTATTCTTGGACACTATAATTGGCTCTCTTATGAAGATGTCTTCGATAGAGCTTTGAACTTTGGAAATGGCTTACAGATGTTGGGTCAGAAACCAAAGACCAACATCGCCATCTTCTGTGAAACAAGGGCTGAGTGGATGATTGCGGCACAGGCGTGCTTCATGTATAACTTTCAGCGTACGTGGGTTTTCTTATCTTCTGGGAGAGCGGATCTATGCTACTGTGGGAAAAATGACGCTGACTTTGATTATAAATATTTCACTGCGAGATTAAAATTCTGATGTTATTTTTCACCTTGCATTCAATCAGCAGAGAACCCCTTATTATAATTTAGAACTATTGATCTGCTTTGGAAAAGGAACCAGTTATGGAACAAATGGTGCAGTCACTATATAAGGGACCTTGAACCTATTCATAGGGGACTTTCTGGGTGTAGGAGCCCGGCCTGTACACTGCTATCATCTCTCAGCATTTCCCCTTTGAAGGCGGTGTCATTTTGTTATGCCATTTCTCTCAGGAGTAACAGTTTACCTCTAAAACATTTCCAGTACTCAAATGCAGGCGCTAGGCTAAACAATAGAGAACTTTTATATTGTGATTATTTGAGTGGTGGTCATGATGCCTCAGTCTGAGGTAGTCCTGGAAGCTTAGTTGAGAGTTCTTGGTACCAAAATGTGAAGTATGGACATTGTCTTCTTATCCTTTATATGAAACAGAAAAGGTACATTTACCAGGTTTCTTGCTGTACGTGTCTTCAGTGTTCTTTTGTTTTTTTTGTTTTTTTAAATTTTCATTCCTTTTTATTTTCACAGGTTTCTGTTTACAAAACATTTCTTTTGAAAGCTTTAAAATAATCATCTCTTAAAGTTACTTTAAACCTGCAAATAAAAATCTACTTTATTTAATTTTAACATTTTTAAGAATGTTTTTCTTTGGATTTTTCTGCTTTGGAATGAGCAGTACTGATGCTTGTTTATGCTGTTACTGTAACGCATAATACCTTAAATATGACCTCCAAAGTGTTATCTTATTGGTATATGTTCTTTTTCATATTTTAGTACCTAGTAGTTAACGACTAAGACTTGACATTTTAGAAATTGGATATAATTACTTCCAATATGACAGTCCCACAGTAACATCTGTAGGTGAAACAAAATTAAATTTAAAAAAATTTTATTTTAAAATATTAAGGAAAGGTGAGTAGGCATAATGTTAATTAGCATATTAAAAATTTGAGAAAATAGCATAGATCATAAACTATGGACGTAATGATTCAGGGTTCAGTGTGCTCCATTATGATTCATGTCCTTTCAAGGCTTTACTTATGTTTAGTATACCCATGAAATGTTCCAGTGTTGACTTGCCTGTCTTTTCCCTGTAGTCGTTACGTTGTATGCGACTCTAGGAGGTCCGGCAATTGTTCATGGATTAAATGAGACAGAGGTGACCAACATCATCACTAGTAAAGAACTCTTGCAAACAAAGTTGAAGGTGAGGACTGCAGTTTTTTTAACTGTCTAATACTTTGCAATTTTCAATGTCATGAGCTCTATTACTGATACTTAGTTCTTTTATGATCTTTAAAATTCTTTTCTTTATAAACTTATAGGAATATAATTTTATTCCCTTAAGAAAAGAAAAAGTGGATTTCATATATTCATATAACTAGTGCAGAGAGTTAAAACATTAATTATTAATATGCCCATATCTAAGGTGAAAGGATTATAGCTATTCTTTATTGTGCTTATCTGTTTTCTAGTCTTTTTAAAATACATTTTAAATTTTGAAGGGTTATTTTTAAACTAGCAATTTTATTTTTTTAAGCATTAGGTCATTAGGAGTTTTTAGAATTTTTTAAGGGAAAAAGAGAGACTTTATGAAACTATAGGAAAAAAATGGGTTTCTTTAGTTTCTAGACAACTCTCCGTAAAAACAATAATCGCTGGTTTAATTTTTTTAAATACGCAAGTTTATAAGTGAGTTCCACCTCTTTCCCCTGTAACTTTACTAGCCTCTTACTGTATGAGGGCGTTTGGCTCCCCTGCAGTTTCGTGTAGGCAGCCTATGTTCACATGCCCCTTTTGTGAGGAAGTAACTTTGTCGACCAGGGTTTTACCAAAAACTACAGGTAGAGTAAATCTAGTGCTGTAAAAATAGTAATTTAAATTTCAGACCAATGTTTCTCCATCTGAAAAAGTGGTATTCATACCAATGTACCCTCTCCCCCTTTTTTTGAGCCTAGAAATCAATAATTCACTGAATATGATAAACTGCTTTTCTTGTGATCTGGCCCATTGGCTAAGCTGTTTCATGAAGAGTAATGAGCATGATGAATGCTTGTGTGTTTCCAGGATATAGTTTCTTTAGCCCCACGCCTGCGGCACATCATCACTGTCGACGGCAAGCCTCCAACCTGGTCCGAGTTCCCCAAGGGCGTCATAGTGCACACCATGGCCGCAGTGCAGGCCCTGGGAGCCAAGGCGAGCACCGGTAGGTCGCCTCTGCCCCTCCCTGCTTTGTGCTCTGCAGGGACCATGCTCTGGGTACACTTGCTCATCTGCCCTTCAAGGAGGGTGTAAGCAAACAATTTATAAACGTACTAGAAGTATTACTTCTTTGAAATTAGTTTAAAATATGTTTTACTTTGTACAGTTTTTCTGTTTCCTTTTTCTGGTTGTTTTGGATGGTTTAAAATTAGTTTTATAAATAATGGCATTAAACTTGTCCTCTATGGATTAATTATCCATGAATATTACAAGATAGCTAAACCCGGATCTCTCCTTTAACTCCCTGTTCCAACTGTACCTCTTCCGAAGGGGACATGTTATCCTCCAACTAGCACATGTAGGCACGGTGATTGGGAGTCCCTCCTCTCAAATAAGTGTCATGAAATGTTGGTGAGTACTCTGGCATTCAGGGATATCATAGAAAAGCTCCTTGGATGCTGTGGTATATTTCCTTTATAGTTGGACACTTAGTGATTCATTCGATATAGACATTGGCTCAGCTCTGGACTGGGGTTATGCTGACGTTAATTTTGGGCAGATTGACTTTGAGGAGCTGGTGGGACATTCAGATGTCACTCACTATCTAGTGGGCAGTGGCCTGTACAGGCTAGTGCTCTGCGGTGAGATCTGCAGTTAGGAGAGTTAGAAGCCAGAAGCAGTTGGGTTTTTGGTTTGTTTTTGTTTTTCTACCAGGGGTGAAGAATCTCCCAATTCACTTGGAGGGGCACAGCCACAACCCCCAAAGGAGACAAGATTGCTTGCTGTCAGCAGCTCTGTTTAAACTGCTGCTATGACAGACAGCTTAGGTGCCTGGCAGTTAAGTTTTAATTATAGCTGGGCGTAGGTGAGGTCACGCATGGAGAGTGGTGCATTCAGATGCCACCCAGGATTGGTCAGAGAGGAAGGGAGAAAGTGTCTCGGTGAGGCAGGGGTTGTCACCAGGACCAGGTGCACTGGACGACTCAGGTAACAGGGAGTGCAGGAGGCCCATCTGACTTAGCCAGTGTCACCTCAGAGAGAGCAAGCTCCAAGAAGTGTTGGGATGAAGGAGTGGATGCAGATTAGGAAGTGAGGACTTGAATAAGAACAATTGTGAGGAAATGTGTCTGCAGGCAGGAGAGAAAGGGCTCATTTAGGGACATGCTGAAACTCTCCCCTGCTTATTTAAGGAGTCCACATTTAGGATAGTTCCCGGATTATTTCGGGCAGGTCGTCGGTACCATCCACGACCCACTTCTCTCTGTCTATCCTGTCTCCTCTGTAGGATGTTTGCTGCTGTCCTTAGGCTTGTCAAGTGGAGGACGTTGCCTTTAATCCAGGATTCCGAGTATAGCCAAGTTAACTTACCACTGCGAAGCAGAGAACATTGTTAGCAAATGCCTAGGTACCCTTGTCCAACCGCCCTAATCTTTAGTTGCATTTTTGGAATAGCCTGTTCTCTTTCTGCCTCCTTCCTTCCCTTTCTTAAGTTAGGTAGCCACACAGTAGCCAAAGTGATCCTTGCCCAGGATGATGACAAAACAGCATTGTGCTCCCCCCACCCTGCCCCAGGGAGATCCTGAGTCCTGGCGTGGCCTCCGGGCCGCTACCTGGTGCGGGCTTGGCTGCTGCTCCCCCTTCCTTCCTGCCACTTTTCTCTTGTTACTTTACCCCACCACATTTCCTCCTGTGCTGTACTTATGCCAGACACATTGGCACCTCAGGACCTTTGCACCTGCTTATTTTCTGCTTGAAACAATCGCCCAATGCCAGGGTGTTCCTGGCTCTCTTTCTCACTTTCTTCAGGTCTTTACTAAAATATCGACTCCCGAAAGGCCTCTCCTGATCTTTTCATCTAAACAGCTTCTACTATCATCTTCTTACCTTGTCTTGGTTTATCTTTCTTCATAGCTCTTACTATATTATAGATTTATATGTCTATCCCAACAGACTGTATGTCCCTTATGTGCAGGGACTTGATCTGTTTTGTTGACCTCTGTGTGATTACAATGAAGAATTGTTGAATTGAGTGATAAACACATGATTATGAAAAAAATTGGTGCTTTGGCTACATTTCTCACAAGTGTGTGTGTGTGTGTGTGTGTGTGTGTGTGTGTGTGTTTCTCCAATATAGAAAACAAACCTCAGAGTACACCGGCACCATCAGATATCGCAGTAATCATGTACACGAGTGGATCCACGGGACTTCCCAAGGGGGTCATGATCTCCCACAGCAACATCATCGCTGGCATCACTGGGATGGCTGAAAGGATTCCACGGCTGGGGTAGGTCGTAGTGAGGAAATGCGGACAAGGCCAGTATTTATGTCTGTTATAGTAATGTTTGTGACATGAAGTCTCGTGGTTAAATGAGTCTTTCAGTCTGTTTACAGTAGGCATTTCCTTCACAAGACATTAGTATTAATTATAAAATCGTCTTAATTGTGAAACTTTAAAATATAATTTATAGATATCATCAACAGTTAACCTTTTATTTTAAAAGTACAAATTTCAACTGACTTATCCCGTAATTTAAATTATTTTAATCAGTTTGTATTGTCGCCTCTATAGTCATTTTTATACCTAAATATGTTATTCAGGTAAACAACTTAATATATCCAATAAGTGTTTAATGAGGTTCTGTATTCAGTCTCTGACTTCTTTTTAGGACAAATTTCATAGCAGGGGGAGAAGGGTGTACTGTAGGGGAAAGATGCATGCTGATGACTGACCTGGGCAGTGGTTAGGTATTTTTGAAGCTGTTATGCACAGAAGTTACACACACACGCGCACACACCGGTTACTGTGGAATAGAATTTGGGAATGGGGAGAGAAATTTGTCTTGCATACATAACTTTCAGAAAAGTATTAAGAACAACAGTGTTCTGTGTTTGCTTCAGTTGCCCTTTGTAGTTTGGGGATGGGGCAGTTCTTGAAATATGTGCCCATGCACCCATATGCATTTTCTTACCTAAGGTATAGTTTATTACTTATAACTTAAATCTAGCTCTTGGGACAGGAGTCTATTCTATAAGATTCCCGGCAGACAGTTGTGGGTTCTGTTTGAACTTTGTGTGGCAGCCCACTAGCTTTAAAGACCCTTCCTCCTTGGATTTCTTCTCCTTCCAAAGAACACTTTCATTTTTAAAAATATGTCTTTATTGATTTCAGAGAGAAGGACAGGGAGAGAGAGAGAGAAACATCAGTGAGAGAGAGTCACTGATTGGCTGCCTCCTGCACGCCCCTGACTAGGGGTCGAGCCCACAACCCGAGCATGTGCCCTGACTGGGAATTGAACCATCTCCTGGATCCTAGGTCGCCCCTCAATCGCTGAGCCACACCCGGCGGGGCTCCTTTCATTTTTTTACCACATTCTTCTATTTCTTCTGCCTTAGCTCCTAGCTCTGCAGCACCTGTAATTGATTAGTGAGTGCCTTCGAGTAGGAGTGGACACAGGGCCACTTGCTTAGAGTGTCTATATCCTTGTTTTAGGCTGAGCTGGAGTTTTTATCTCTGACACCCCCAGTGTCTGTCTGTCAGTGTCTGTCTCTCTTGCTCTCCTCTCACACACACCACCACTACCAGTGAGTCAAATGGATGCCCTGAGGGCCGTTCCATGTGCCTTTTCAAGCTCGCTCCCACTGTAGTCACTTTCAGCAGAGAGGCCTGACAGTTTCTTCTCACATCTCCCTTTTCTTTCAGAGAGGAAGATGTTTACATTGGATACTTGCCTCTGGCCCATGTGTTAGAATTGAGTGCTGAGCTTGTCTGTCTGTCTCATGGATGCCGCATTGGCTACTCTTCCCCACAGACGTTAGCAGATCAGGTAAATGCCATGTCCGTGACTTGAGATACTAAAAAAATCATCATTTTAAATACATTTCCCCGTCAATTTGACACTGTATTATGAATATAACAATTTAAAAACAGGCACTTGGCTTTTTAATTGCTTTTTAGAATATGAGTAAATTAAAATCATGAATTTATAATATACTTTTTGATTTAAGAATTCCACTGAATTTTAAAATAAGAATCACTTTATGTGGATCACTTTTTCTCTCTATAGTCTTCAAAAATAAAAAAAGGAAGCAAAGGGGATACGTCCATGTTGAAGCCAACGCTGATGGCAGCGGTTCCGGTAAGAGTTGAACACTAACTAGTACTGAGTTCTAAAGAAGTGTCACGTGCCACAGACATACATGCTAGTGGAAAGATTCTGTTGTCAAGGTAGTTCGTCTAGGTTTATTCCTCATTCAGTCTCTGCATTACTTTAAGCTCTGCGGATTTATTCCATCTTGTTTTAGCTTTACTTTTTTTTTTATTTCCAGCTTCTGTATGTATTATCATATTATCAGCTCCTTTCTCTAAATAGCTGCTTGTTCAAGTTTTTTTCATGAGGTTTGTTTGCTGTTAGTAGAAACCCGAAGTGTAGCAGGAGGTAGGAGTGAAGGTTAAGTTGAGATCACCTCCTTCTAAGCAGGTAGTGTAATTACCTCCTGATTCCTCAGGGGAAATCTGGCCTGGACACCAAAAAAATTGCTGCTACTTGGCATGACCTGCATCCTGATGTGATACCAGGCATGGGGAGGGGCCTTGAGTGTGAAGTCAATGGAAATGAGACACGATTTTCTCTTAGTGTAAGTCTTATATGACTTTCGGATTTTGTTTGAAAGTGTTGGGAATTATGCTCAGATTCCTGAGCCCTCACATCTAAGTATAATTACATAGTTATTCTAAAATCAAATACAGGAATTTCTATAGGTATATAGTTTCCTTAGTACCATCTTTAAATTTTCAGTTCATGTAAAAATTCCATGTAATTTGAAATTGTAGGGGATAAACTACTTGAAGTCATTAAAGTATACTCCGTCGTAGTGCTAGGCCTAGCAAGTAAAAGACAGGGTAGACAAGGAAATTCCCAAGTGCAGCACTGAAAGACAAAACCAACCAGGATAGCCCAAGGTCCTCTTGTGATTAAAGAATGTGGAACTCTATAACCTAACCATTTCATGTAGTTGCTTATTTATTTAGTGAGTTTAATTTTTAGTTCAGAATAAATAAGATGAAGAAAAGCAATATAAAAAAAATCAATAAATAACATATTACTGCCCCAACGCTTTTATTTTTTTACTACTCACGAGCACCTGTATTTTTGCTATTAAAAATTATTTTTACAGAAACCTCATTTTTAAACTAATTTTGACTGTATTTTAAAAATGTGTGCCTGATAGGATATATCTTTTAGAATGTCTCAATATTGATAGAAATATTAATGTGATGTGAAGATTTTAATATGTATAAGGCATCTGCTAGCATCATTAACTATATTAACTAATTTTTATACAATCAGGAAATCATGGATCGAATCTACAAAAATGTCATGAATAAAGTGAATGAAATGAGTAGTTTTCAACGTAATCTGTTTATTCTGGCCTATAATTATAAGATGGAGCAGATTTCCAAAGGGCGGAGCACTCCCCTGTGCGACAGGTAAGGAAATGCTCTCCCTCCGGGTAATAGAGTTGTTTTGTTCACATCACTAGCCCCCTTAGTTGAGGTAGTTGTAACAAATTTATTTTAAAAAGTCAGAGGGACTCTTTAAAAAAATCCATCTTGCGTAAGAATATGAGCAATTAAAAAACATTGCCATCTTATGTGAAAAAATTTTTCACTTACAATTTTACTCAGTTTAATAATGTGCTTATATTTTTATATGGACACTTATGTGACTTTATTATTTTGAGAAATAATTTCTCTTTGCTTTAAATTTTTTTTCAATGTAAATATAAAATGGCAACAAAATGTGATTAAATTTTTTGGCTTGAAGTGTTAAATGACCAGTTTTACCACAGACTTGATTTTTTTGTTTTGTTTTTGTAGTGCTAATAGAGTAAGTAGATTTAAATATAAAATAGTTTAGAATTTAGAAATGAATTATTGAGATTATTTTTTTACAGGAATATTAATATAGTTTTCAAATGCTTCACTTTATTTAAAACTTTTTAAGTTTTCCCCCCTGCCTTTTAGTTATCTCTTTAGCAAGATATATAACCTACTTTGTAAAAAGCCTGTTAATATTATTTTATTACATGATTGCCACTTGGCCTTGCCTTTTTCAAGGTTACTTAAAAAAACAACAACCCTTTCTTCTTTTGATCAAGGTAGTAGGTAATCTTTTTATATTAGTGTATTTTCAGAAATATTTCAATTAAACATTTGAATTGTGTTTTTTTTTTATTTACCAGATATTTTTAAACAATAAACATGTTGAAACTGGAATTATTGAAGTTTTTTAAAAAGTTAGATTGCTGTATATAAATATGTACACATTTCTAGTGAAGTAATAAGCTAAAGCAAAAAGTAATTTGTTTTTAGTACTAAATTTATAAATGCAATAGGATTATTCAGTATTAATACAATGTGTATTCTAGAATGATACAAAACAAATTGCTTTGGCTATTAGCAAGGATTTTCCATTATTATACAAAATTAAACCTTACAACTTTGAATTCAAATATTACTTGAAAAAAATTAAGGCAAGATCATAGATTGTTTACTTGGTTGATCTTTTAAAAATTAAGATTTAAGTAGTGCGTCAAGAGAATCTCTTGAATTGGGAGTGTGGCCTTGGTTAAGTCACTTAATATCAAAATTGGGAGATTAGTCTAAATGATTTGGGAAATCCTATTCAGCTTTAAAGTCCTGTGGTTCTCTGATTTAATATATATATATTTTTTAAGGTTTATTTTCCGGAAAGTTCGGAGCTTGCTGGGTGGGAACATTCGGCTGCTGTTGTGTGGAGGTGCTCCGCTTTCTGCCACCACACAGCGGTTCATGAACATCTGCTTCTGCTGTTCTGTTGGCCAGGGCTATGGGCTCACGGAGTCAGCCGGGGCTGGAACAATTACAGAAGGTGAGAGCCCCACAGAGTGCAGTGTCCGGCAGAGGCCGTGTGCACCACCTGGCTTTTTTGGGTATGGGTGGTTTTCTACAAATATGTAGGAGAAGAGGGGTTAAGGTGTGTATCTACCACAGTAATGGTAAGTTCTGTGTTCTGTGATTATTGATACGAGGTTTTAGAATGTAAGAGTAATTCATTTAGAGGAGTTTTTCACTTAAAACTAGGCAATATTATAAACTAAGTAGTTTTCTGGAAAAGTTCTAATAAAAAGCATTGGCTGTGTTGTATATATTTATTTTCTTACCTTAGTTCTTAAGTTATATTTATGTAAAAAGTTAACATGTTTTGTCTAGTTGTTTAGGTATGTGTATTAAGGCTCAAATTCAGAAATGTTTGTTGATGGGTGTGTGTGTAAGTATAGTGAGAAGGTCTGGAGAGAAAGGTCTAGAGAATATAGTTTTCAGAGCTTCCCATGATGATGTGATTGAGGGAGAGATCTGCTTGCACCCTAGATGGTTCCCAGGTCAACCCCATGGGGCCTCATGTGTCCCTTTTGTGGGAGGCAGCTACTTTGCTTCCAGTACTAGAGAAAGCCATGTTTCTACTTTGTTTTTTGGATACTGATAGATATCAGACCTCTTCACTGTTGATTTTTTCTTACTTACCTTGAGTATGTCTATGTATTGTTCTTATGCCAGGTTAATCTTGCATTACTCCTGTATTTTCCTGTTTTCAGTTATGGTCTCTGTATTTTTACATATTTTTGGAAGCTACTTCTACATTATGTTTTGCAGGAAATAAACAAGCAATCTTAAGTGTATGCATATATGGTCGTCTGTCCCCCCCAGGATCTTAATTTCTTCTCTTTAAGATTCACATTGAATGTGTGATTAATCAGTTACTGTTTGTTGTAAATAAAACTCTGTAAAGTGTTAAATATCTGCATTTTATCCCTGGTATTTGAATGATCTTCAAGAGGAAATGCAATGCAGTAGTAATTTATAATGGTGGGTTCTTTCCCCAGATGCTCCCAAGTTAGCAATCTTAATCTCCAGCCAGGCCTTTGAACTCTCGCTGTGTGAATTTAAATAGGGTTGCGGTAGCCTAACTGATGTGTGAGGGAGGCTTTCGAGGTCTCACATTGAACTAGTGATGCATGGGGAACATTAGCTTATTTGTACTGCAAAGCTGTAGAGTCTAATGAGGCAGGGGAATAGGTGTAAACCATTCTGCTCCATCATTTCTTAAGATAGGGAGCTACAAACTCATGAACTGGGCCTGATGTAAGAAAATGTGATGGGTGAGGAATCTGGGGAACTGGAGCAGGCACGTGCCATGCTGGGAAGGTGGGCCTATTGTTCCTGGAGATTCCACCCTTGTGAGTAAAATGTAGATTAAAAACAAAAGAAAAACTCAGTGTGGGCCACACAGCCTGTGGTTCACCAGTTTGTGACTTCTGCTTTTTCTGGGGTTAGCTAAGCTTTGGGATAAATCATTGTTTTTGATAATTTAGAAAAATGAAGCCACTTATTTTACCTACTGTAATCAAAGACTTTTTTTCATTTGCCTCTTAGTGTGGGACTACAATACCGGCAGAGTGGGAGCACCGTTAGTTTGCTGTGAAATCAAATTAAAGAACTGGGAGGAAGGTAATAACGTATTTTAAGCACAGAGCATTAATATGTATAGCACTAAACTTTAATGTTGTATTGGCATTACTTTCTTCCTTACTTTAGGATATAAAGTTACTCACAAGTGCTCATTTTGTCACCTGTAATAGATATATTCTATCTAAAGCTATATGGATGCATTTACTTTGCAAGTTTTAGAGATGATTCTGAAGAATTATAATTGTTTTTATTTTGCTTATTACTTAAATACAAGTAAGAATTATGGCAAAAACTTGAGAACTATGCTAAATAAATGTCAGTTAATTAAGAATGATCATAACTTTTATTTTGTAAAAGAAAATTCATAAAATTCTATGAAATTGAAGATTTTTTTACATGTGTTTTTTCTTGTCTTTCTTTTCTCTGAGGGCTTCAACCAAGAATGATCAGAAATAAATTTTTACTATAATTCCACTTAAATACTAATTACTTTAAAAAATTTTTACTTGATCCTGTTAACATGTACATATTATCTATGATTTGTTTGGATGCTCTTTTCTTTTATACAAAATAAAGATAAAAATTCTAAGGCTGAGATGTAATTTTTCAGCTACCTTTTAGCAGAATTAGTAAAAATGTTTAATAAATTTAAACTTGGAGTATTCTGAAATTATCTCTAAGGAATAAATCTTCTAAATATATAGTAATTTGATTTTATACAGAGATTTATCCTCTTATTAAAATCATGATTTAATACTTTTATTAGTTTATTAGCATGATATTTCAGAATCTACAGCATTCTGTTTTGTTTTTGTTTTTAAATAAGTCTTTATTAATTTCAGAGAGAGAGAGGAAGGGAGAGGGAGAGAGATGGAAACATCAATGATGAGAGAGACATTGATCGGCTGCCTCTTGCACTCCCCTGACCGGGGATCGAACTCGGATCTCCTGGATCCTAGGTTGATGCTCAGCTGCTGAGCCACTCAGGCTGGGCTCATAATTCAGAATTCATAAAGGAGTTTACCTGTGTGTAGTATATGTAGTTATTTTATTCATTAGATGTTGGATTTTCGAGTGTAATTTTTTTTTAGAATTGTAGTTTAAAAGCATAAGTGCTTATGTTTAAGCAACTGAAGTTTTGTACCTAGTTTTATGTTGATGAGTTTTGTTAATTCATGGTATCTGCCTTATTTCTTTTGGGATACTAGAAGTGGATTGAAATCAGATATCCCTGTTTAGAAACTAAGTTTCAGGTTTTCACATGATGCATATAGGGATAAAAATACTGAATTAACTCTAAATATTCTGCTCATTAGGTGGATACTTTAATACCGATAAACCACATCCCAGGGGTGAAATTCTTATTGGTGGCCAGAATGTGACAATGGGATACTACAAAAATGAAGCAAAAACAAAGGCTGATTTCTTTGAAGATGAAAATGGGCAGAGGTGGCTCTGTACTGGGGACATCGGGGAGTTCGACCCTGATGGCTGTTTAAAGATTATTGGTGAGCCGTGTAATACTTTCTTGTAATGTGGTATTTCTGAAATAGTTTACAAAAGAGGTGTTGTGTATTGAGAGAAGCTGCTGAATAATGTGTGTCTTTAGGAAATGTTGGTATGGTCTGTTGCATCATCCCTGTAATATAAAAGTTTACAGGGGGACTTTGTGGAATTGTAAGGCATGACAGATTATGAGGTCTCAGAATCTGTTCAGCAGCAGTGGTATCTTTACTTACTAGCTAGCCCTTAAAGAGTCAGATTCTTCATAGGGAGCATTGATTTTGTGATGACTTTGATGTCTAGAGGTCACTGGACAGGGCTCTGTTCTGTCGGAATATGTCCTTGCCTTGCCTGTGAGAACTAAGGAAGGCCTGGCTGCTCGATGGGTGACAGACACCTTTCCCCTCTCCTCCCTGAGCTTCTTGTCCTCAGTCACTGGCGTTTCTATCCCAGTCATGACTGGAGTCCTGGGAAGAGATGCTTCAGGCAGCTGCCTGTATCTAACCCACAGCCCAGATTGACCTTGTGATGTAGGCCTCTTCTCTCTCTGTCCCTCTTACTGTGGTCGTAGGTTAGGCTGTCCGTCTGTGACCCTATTGCAGGAAATTGCTCTCTGTTGCCATGCCAGTCCCCTTTAAACACACCTTTGCGTGGCCACTGTGTGATTACTAAACACTGACCCCACTGGACCACTTCCTGCTGAAACCTGGTAGTGGCTCTCAGAGGCTCAGATCAGGGCTCCTCTGTTTGGCCCGGTTCACAGCTCCACCTTCACGTCCACTTCCTGGGGTTTCTTTCTTCCCTGCTGCGGTAGTGTGAGCTGGCCCTGCTCTCTCCTCTGCCAGCGCCGGTCCACTCGACTGTCACTCAGTCTTCCCTCAAGAACCAGCTCAGGCCTCACTGGCAGGAATTCTTTCCAAAGCAGCAGGTTGGAGAGTCTTAGCACTTGGCACTGCCATAGAGTATGAAAGTGATATGTTTTTGCATCATGCGTGTCTCCAGGTGGAGTGTGATTTCAGGTGGCACTGAGTATATTCTTTACCTTCCTGGTATTAATGTGTTCCATACACTTTTCCATTCAGTGGAGCATATCTAAAGCCCAGACAATGGGGTGGGGGGGGCCTTATTCAGAAGCTAATTAAAAATGAATGTATTTAATATCAAAATTAGGACTTATTTCTTATTCACTTTTAATTTTAGTGTAATTTTTATAATGTGCTTAATTGATAGCAAATTGCTTAGAGAATGGTCAGTATTTATGTGTATTAAAGGTGTTATTAATGTTGTCTTCTCATGTATCCCCCCCGGCCTTTGTCCTGCAGATCGTAAAAAGGACCTTGTAAAACTCCAGGCAGGAGAATATGTTTCTCTTGGGAAAGTAGAGGCAGCTTTGAAGAATCTTCCACTGATAGATAACATCTGTGCTTATGCAAACAGGTAAGAAAGTAGAATTCCTGCAACTTTTCCCTAGAATGTTTGGTATGTTACTGGCATTGCCTTCCTGTATAGGTCTTTGTAAATTCTACCAATAACCCTTCCTTCTTATCTGTTGTCTCTGGGAACAGCCTCTTCTCATTACAGCCATTCACCCACCGAGTCTTCCTTTTCCCATCTTCCTCTGTGTCCATTCTCTGCTTTATGTCTCACTGCAGTGTCCTTTGAGGGTTCCTGCCGCCTTGGGACCCCAGCTCCCTGTCCCTCTGCACAGGGAGGCTCCCCAGAGCCAGTCCAGAGGAAGGGGAGTTAAGAAAGGAGTTGGGGGTTGTGGGGGTCCCTGCTCTAACCATAAGTCTGTTTGGGACCCTGGCCAGGGCTGAGGCCTTCTTCCTTAAGCTCTGTAAGCCCATGATGATTTAGTGACAGCTGGGGAGGGGGCTTAAAGTTCAAACTCCAGAAGTGCAATCTTGGTAAATGTGTTGGATTTTAGATTGGCACTCTGATCACACTTTCCCCGACAGTACTGTATGTGAGGTAGTGACTCTCAAGTATTAGTCCCAGGTATTGTGTAGCCAGCCTGGGAGTCTGGCCATAGCAGCTGACATAAGAATTACGAAAAAATAAGCTCTGGTATCAGAAGAACCAATTTGAAAACAGACTTTGAGATATAGCCCCGGTTAAAGATTTGTTTCATTTATGTATAAATGATTTGGTCCTTCAACGAAGTATTTTTGTTAGTGATGCCAGGGTTCTGGGTTTTACTTGTGTGCTATTAACCAGAACTCTTTCTGCTGCTGCTGCTGCTGTCGTGAGGCTCCTGCCTTTAGTGGGCAACTCGGCTCCTCTTTCAACACAAATTCTCTTGATAACAAAAGAAGAAAATCAGTATGATCACATTACTTTGATCTGCCAAATTTCGTTAGATACAGTTTGTTTATGTTAGGTTTTGTTTTTGTTTAACCTGTTGATGTGAATTAGTGATTTTATAAAAGTGAATTTTCTAATAATTTGTAATTATCTTTTAAAAAATGTGTACATGGCACTATTCCTGTGCATATTTGAAATTGATCATGAAGTGTCATATTAAGGTCTATTCAGCAGTGAGCTCTGCCAGGGCACTGGAACGTGCTGTGAGTCAGACAGTAAAGGTGGCTCTTGCATGAACAGTGCCCGGTGTGCGTCATGCATTTTCTGTAGAGCAGTGAAGGGCTGGCTACTGAAACGTCAGTGTAATCATGACTGCAATTAAATGGTGTGCCAGTCAGTCCCGTCACTAAGCTGTCCTTCGTCTATTTCAGTTACCATTCTTACGTCATCGGATTTGTTGTGCCAAATCAAAAGGAGCTAACGGAACTTGCTCGAAAGAAAGGACTTAAAGGGACGTGGGAGGAGCTGTGTAACAGCTCGGAGATGGAAAACGAGGTACTCACAGTGCTGTCCGAAGCTGCTCTTTCAGGTGAGTGATGCTCACACTGATTCTCAGAGCCAAAGTAGGATGAGAGCACTTAAATGTGTTTATCCTGTTATATTACAAGGCCTAGGAAACCAATTGTATTGTCCTACTGTTAGTAGAAGAACTTATCAGTCCCCCTTTCGAGCCCTGGGACACACAGGTCGTTTGCTTCCTTGACTGGGGCACATGTCTCAGAGTGTTCTCATTGCTGTAGCTTCTGCTTTCTGGGTGGCCCCTTTCTCTACGTTTCTCTGCTGTTTCCAAGGCCCTGCTCGGTGTCCTGGCCACCCCAGCCCTCAGGGAGTTGTCCAAGATTCTCCTCTACCTTCCCTGTATCCTGGGAGTTGGTGGTTTCCACTTTTGGCTGTTCTGAATAATGCTGCTGTGAGCATTTGTGTACAAGTGTTTGTGTGGACATGCTTATTTCTCTGCTGGGAGTGGAACTGCTGAGCCTGTGCTAACTTTATGTCAGACCTTTTGAGGAACTGCCAGACTATTTTCTAGAATATTTTTTTCCAAATTATTTTCTGAAATGGTAGCACCATTTTACATTCTCACTAGTGTTGCATGAGGCTTCCTGTGTCCTTGTATCCTTGCCCACAGTTGTTGTTGTCCACCCTTTTGATTGTAGCCATCCTAGTGGGTGTGAAGTGGTATCTCATAGTGGTTTTGGTTTGTGGTCTTTTGGTGGTGATGACGTTGAGCATCTTTTCACGTACCTGTTGGCCATTGTATAGCTTCTCTGGAGAAATGTCTATTCAGATCCTTTGCTCATTTTCTTAATGAAGTTATTTGACTTTTTATTACTGAGTCTTATGAACTCTGTATATTCTAGTTACAAGTCCATCACCAGATAGGTGATCTGTAAATATGGCCTCCTATTCTTCTGCTTGTTTCTATTTTCCCGATGGTATCCTTTAAAGCACAACAGTTTTAATTTTGATAAGATACAATTTATTTAAATTTTTCCTTTTGTTGCTTGTGCTTTTGGTATCTGAGAAACCATTGCCTAATCCAGTCACAAAGATACACCCCTAAGTTTTCTAGTTTTTGCTCTTACGTTCAGGTCCTTAGTCCATTTGGAGTTAGTTTTTATGTGATGTGAAGAAGACACCCAGCTTCATTTGTAACCCAAATCTACATTAGTCAGGCTTACAGCACTACAGAACCAGTGGGTTACAGATAAGAGACTTACTGGGAGGGGTTGGTGTACACCATTATGGGGGCTGGTGGTCAGGGTTGGGACTCCGTGGGGCAGACTGTTGAAGGGTCCACAGCGAATCACTTCTGTGGGGGCCTCCTCAGCTCTGCTCTGAGGCCTTTGACTGACGGGCCAGCCCCTCTGAGATGATGGAGGGTCACTTTCCTCACGTAGATTATGCTCCTTATAATAAATTCAGAGAAAACAAGCAGGTGTAAAGTAAAAAGTGACCTTCCTTCTGCTTAGTCCTGGATCCCACCCTAGAGGTGTTTATAGTTTACAGTGTGTGCGTCTCGTCCTACATGTCTAGATGCCAATAAGTTTATCTAATATTAAAAAAACAACACTTGCCTTTTTTAAAACCTTGTTGCAAAAACTTTATACATCCATACCATGTACACCTAACTAACTCATTTTGATGACTGAATTGCATTCTATTTTATGCCTAAATCATAATTTACCTAACTTACTCTGTTGATGGACATGTATTATTTTGCTATTCTAATTCTCATATGTGTCTACTTTTTTACTTATGCTAGCATTTCTGAGGGATATAGATTGCCTGCAATGAGAGTCATGGGCGGTTGCTTGTGCATTTTGAGGGTGCTCAGCGACTCTGCTAAGAATTTCAGTGGTATGTTTTTCATGACTTTGTATTTGTATTTTCCCCATACCACCTCAGCAAGTCTGGAAAAATTTGAAATTCCAGTGAAAATTCGTTTGAGCCCTGAACCATGGACCCCGGAAACTGGTCTGGTGACAGATGCCTTCAAGCTGAAACGCAAGGAGCTTAAAACACATTACCAGGCGGACATTGAGCGAATGTATGGAAGGAAATGATGATTCTCTTTTGGCATCAGGTTGCTGCAAGGAGCTCAGATCAAATAGGAAAATACTTGAAATGCACGTCTCAGACTGTGAGGCAAACTCCATTCCTCATACTAAACCTAAACTGTTATTTCTCATGACATCACTATTTTTAATGGGCAGGATGAGTAAAATACTAAGACAGCAACCCTGTGTCTGTCTCTTCTTTCTCCCTCCTGCAGTTTTCCCCCAGGACTGCACTTGTCAGCATGTGGAGGCTCCTGAATCCTATGGGGACAGTGATTTTAAAACCTCAAGTTTTTAAATATGATTTATATGTTCTGTATAATGTTCAGTTTGTAACTTTTTAAAGTTTGGATGTATAGAGGGATAAATAGGAAATATAAGAATTGGTTATTCGGGGGACTTTTTTACTTACAGTATTTAAAAAATGTAAGGTTCTGGATGTGAAATTATGTAAATTTCAGATGCTTATGAATCAAATCATTGTTGAACAAAAGCTTTGTTGCTGTGTAATTATTGTCTTGTATGCATTTGAGAGAAATAAATATGCCCAAGCTTATGTTTTAAGAAATTGAGACTTTGTTAATATATGCCTGATAGCGTCTTCACACATTTAATTTTTATTAGGTAAAGTGAAGCTTGGTTGGTGCTGCATGGAACCGAGTAGCAGCAGAGGGTTCTGGTTTATAGTAAAGACGCAAACACAGCAAGTGTAGCACCAGTGGGTAGCTCGTCCCTGGAAGCTGACCGTCAACGTGCTTAGTCTTTTAGAGCTGTGAAAATGAGGAAAATAGGCAGCCTTTAGAATTGGAAGCAATTCTGAAAGTTAGACGGTAGAACTTAAAATGCAAAGGAAAGAAAGTTATTCTTTATTTCATTGACTATATGTACATTGAGTTTTCTGTATTTACGACACATTTATAATGGAAACATTCTGTGTCCCACTCCACCTTTTAAAAAAGATTTATCTTTGTTGTTGAACGTATTACAGATATCCCCTCCTTTCCCGCACTGGCCCCCGGCACTCACATGCACGCCCCCCAGGCCTTCACCACAGTATTGTCTGTGTCCCTGGGTTATGCATATATTCATAAAAGTTCTTTGATTAATCTCCCCCCACCCATCCCTGCCTTCCCTCTGAAGTTCGTCAGTCTGTTCCATGCTTCTGTGTCACTGGATCTGTTTTGTTCATCAGATTCCATGTATGAGTGAGATCATGTGATACTTGTCTTTCTCTGACTGGCTTATTTCCCACTCCTACTTCTCATTTATATGTTTAATCTGTTTCCCTTTCAAATCAGGATTCTTTGTTTTGATGGCTTGCACTGGGGCATGCGTGTGTTGGTAGCTTGTTGAAAAAGCACCTACCCCTTTCTGTCAAACTTTCTACACTAGAAAATGAAAATGCTTAGAATGCTTCATATAATAGTATTCTTAACAATTTACATGAGAACTTAATGAGGTGAGTTAAGATTTAATTTGTAGGTTTTTATGTTTGTGTGCAACTTATTTGTGATTCTAAAAACATTGCTTGTGTGAAGCTTAGTTTTTTCACATGTATTGCTTATCTCTTGTTGTTTGAGCATTTTTAAGGGTAATATTACGCCAATTAAGATGTGCTCAAACCAGGACTTTAAGAAAACATAGGTCCACGTTTTTTATATGTTATATTAGTTATTTTATTGATTCTCACATTAGGTATCAAAAAACAAAACAAAAACCAAAACAAAACACGAACCTGGGTTGGTGTAGGGCAGTGGGCATGTTGAGCCCCAGGGCCTGTGGTGTTTGGTATCACAAACATCGTCTTTGGAGGTATCGCAATACGGTGTTGGGTTTGGTTTTGAACTTTACTGGTATCCTTGTATATTTGTATTATGTTTTGGATGCTTTTCTCTCCATCATAGTTTATCATAAAGTTTGGAAAAACTGCCAAGAAGTAAAACTGTGAAAGACACTAAATGGAAGGAACCTCTCTTATCAGGATGTTGTGATCCAAAAAGTAAAACAGGGTGGGTGGGATGTGTTTCTGATGCTTTATCTTCAGAATAAATGTTTGCTCTCCACTGGTTTTCAAAAAGTTGTACTTAGAAAAAGAAGGTTCAATTCTTCAAAGGAGAGATGTTGATCATTGTGACTTGAAATAGTGGCGGATGAATATGTAGCTTGTCACAGATTCGGAATAAATGTTTCTTTTTAGAAACATAAGGCTGGTTCCATCTTAATAATTTTTTGAATGATTGCTTTCAGCCCTAAAATGTCAGATGTTACAGCAGAATATGAAATTAAATATGTAGAACCCCTTTTCAAACAAATGACTCTCTAACCCAAACTGTCTTAAGTGACTTGAAACAGTGTCTTTTAATATTACCCTTTGAAAAAGTTGCTTGATTAAAAAACCACACACGCAAAAACTACCCAACAACTGTAATCCTATGATAAGAAATACTGCTTTAACCACAAGTTGCCTGCGGAGGCAAACTTGGAACTTCAGAGTCAGTTGCCAGATCTAATACACACCTGGATGTAGGCTAGATCCTTAAAGAATGGTTTCTAAGAGCTACTGTTTTCCCTACTGGAGATAAGCTGATGAAAAACCTTTCCTGTGGCAATAAGTAGAGCAGCTTGTAGCATAGATTGACGGCTACCTCCACTCTTCTTCCCCAGTAGTATTTTTAGCTTAAACTTCATTAAAAGGTTTTTACAGATTATAGAACAAAACTGAAGGTGGGACCTACTTTCTAAGTACTACTTTGTTTTTAAGTAATGGGGTTTGATATCCACGATGTTCTCTAAAAATTTGCAATTTTTGCAGCAATGTTTAAAAATTGGTGAGCTTGGTATAAACTTGCTGCTAAAATTCACAAGATTTCATAGTTTTGAAACAATTAGTCCCTGTGATACAACTTTAAAATTTAAACAACGGATGTGTGGGTTCTTTTGTAGGGAAATTATGTACATCTGTAATCTTTTATCGGGGCATCCACGTTTAAACGGTCACTCAGGACCACGCCGAAATGTCACTCATTTTCTATACTTACCAGTGGTACTTACGTGAGTTCATTTTCAATGTTTTCTTGGTGATTGCTGTTTTCTGCCTGAAGTTTCATCGTGAAGAAACTACATGGTATAGACTATTTATTTGTAATTTGACATGAAGTTTGGAGAATAAAGATATGTAAAAACATTTCTGATATTGAAACAATATTGTCCTAAATAAAAACAAACACCTCCATTCTTGAAATTCTTGTTGAAAATGAGTTTGGGGAATTCTTTCTTGGCCTAGCAATCCATTTGAAGTGAAATTTTTTATTCTAGAAATTCTGTTCTTGACCCTCACGTCTCTGCCGCCTTTCATTTTCCGTTTGCCCATCCCATCCCAAGTTCCTCTCCCTCCCTTCTGGCTCTGACCGCACAGAAGCTCAGCATTTTAAAGTCAGTGCTGGTAATGTGCTTCCTTCACTTATTTACACGGCATGAAGCCTTGACTAGAGGTAATAGAAAAATTAAAGTTGGGCATTAAAATGTGTGGGGTGAGAAGCAGACGTGGCATATTGTGTGCCAACCTTTAACCCTTTATGGGAGAAAGCACTATCAGTATTAGGTCAGATGGTATGTAATTTTTTTCAGATCACCCATTTTTAGTGCAGATAACTTGCTAACCTTTTAAAACAGGCCCCAAGAGAAATGGGAAATTCAGAGAGGTACTTTTCTCCTACCTCTTTCCTGAAAGCTGCTCAGTTCTTGGCCTCTGGTTTCGTTTTTGGTGGATTTTCTGATTCTGGTTTTTTGCGCTGGGGCTGCCCTGTCCTTCCTTCAGCTGCTTCTGTGGGGTGATTGCACAAAATGTCCTTTAAAGACCAGACCTGTTGCTTTCCCTATAGTGATACATTTAAAAAAGAAAAACCATTCATAAGTAATTTCAGACATAAGAATGGAAAAATATCAGTATTTTTATAATTTGCTAATGTAATATATGAATTTATTACCAGATTTCTAGCAATTCAGAAATATAAACTGTATGTGAAAGTCATATGCACATAGAACTTTTAGAGAGCACATTACTGGCTGGCAAATTCATATATTGAAGTCCTAATGTCAGAATGCGACTACATTTGGAGATAGACCTTTTGGGAGGTGTAAATGAGGTGGTTAGAGGGGCCCTCATCCTGTATGACTGGTGTCTTTATAGGGAGAGGAGATCAGGACAGACACACACAGGGTCGACAATGAGAAGGCAAGCCAGGGAGAGCGGCGTGCTGACGCCTTGATCCCGGACCTCCAGCCTCCAGAACTGAGAGAAAATGAACTTGCTATTTAAGCCTGCCGGTCCGTGGTATTTGTTAGAGCCGCCTCCTGTGACTTGCCTTCCTGGGGAGTGTACATTGGACATTTTGCTGTGTCAGTACACATACAAGTTGACCTGGTTAATAAAGTGACCTTTTTGATGGCTACATAATATTCCACAGCATGGGTGTATTTAATCATTCTTTTACTGCTGGACATTTAGGTTATTCCAGTTTCTACTACTAGGATTCTTGTGACAACAAACAGCCCTTGCTCACATTACTGTGCATAAGTGGCAACGAGCATCTATAGGATATTTCCCTAATAGTGGCCTGGCTAGCTCACACCTTCAGCGTTTTTCCAATTGGTATTTTGTTTTGAATGTATAGATCTTGATCCTCGGTAAGTTTAAATTCCTGAGGATGTGAGCACTTTCGTGATTCCTTGTATCCCCCAAGTTCAGTATAGTATCTTCTAAGATCCTGTTCGCTGCAGTATTATCTTCTTCAGTGTCAGTCTCCAGTCAATCATGTCAGCCTTCGATCCAGGCTAAGATGCAGGGACTGGGAAGGGTGGTGTGCAGTGGGGCCCAGAGGCGCCCATCCTGGGAGCTTCCCTGGGTCCGTGTCCTGTTAGGCTTTTTTGGTTATACGTTCCCCCTCCTCCCTCTCTCCTCCCTCCCTCCTTTCCCCTCTGCTTCTAAATAACAATGTCATATGGCGTTAAGTCGTTGGAGTTGTTTTGGTCCACCCTCGGCCAGGATTACACAAATATGAGTAAACTAGAAGTGAATGCAGTGCCGTTAATCAAACAGGCTCCTGCAGGCATTTGATGTAGAACCTTGAGACCCGGCCTCTGTGCCTGTGTCCGCCCCACAGCGGTAGGAGGAGGCGGCAGGGACTGGGGATAACGGATGTCCTCTGCCACCCCGTCCCCTGTGCGACTCCTGCCGCCCTCCAGCTCCGCCTTCCCGGGGTGGCCTAGCCGCAGCCTCTTACAGACCCAGGACAGTCTGGGGGAGCAGGAAGCGCTGTTTTCACAGAGGGCATCACAAACAGGCTCACTGTAGCAAGACACCCATGGTCACCTGTCACCTACATGCCCTGGAAGTTTTGGATCATGAGATAAAAGACGGCTTTTGCCTTGGAGTATTGGTAACAAGAACTGCGTTTTGAGTTTTATGGTCTCTCCCACTTTTTTCTCCAAGTCCTTCCTGCGCTTTCGTTTGCTTGAAAGACAGAAAAGTGGCCTGAGTGTGACTGGAGGAGCCTCGTGGGCAGCGTG